TCTCTGCTAAAACAAAGTTTGTGAATTCAGTTAAATAATTGTTGAAATATATCTGTCATTTGTGTGCTTTTAAGCTTTCTTCCTGTATGGGAAGCTTTTCAAAATTTGAAACATTAGTGCAGTGGTTTATGTTAAAATAAACCTTTGGGTAAAGTTGTCACAAGCAGGTTTTTCTTGTGTTTCTTGTGAATTTGGTCTTAAATTTTTATTTCAAGTGGCATTAAAAATTCTTAAAAAGTCTTGAATTTAACTTGCCTTATGCTGTAGGAACCCTGCAATGTGTTTTCACTCTTTTCTTACCTTTTTATCTTTTTTTTTTGACCCACAAATTACAGGTGACCAAGACAGCTTTGCAGACAAAGCTCAACTTTGAGGAGGTTTGCAAAAACCCTGAGTCGAAAATGTCCGACCGAGCCGTTGCACGCATCGCCACGCACCCTCAGTTCAGCAAGAAGATTGAGAGCATCAAAGCTGCCATTGAAGAGTTTAAAGAGGAGCACAAAAGGGCCAGGAAACAGGGGGGTCAATCGAAAAGTCCGAGGCAGACAGAAAAATCCACGCAGCCGCCGCCGGATAATAGATTAGACAGAAAAAGTAAGGAGAAAATCAAAGACGGTGCTGATAAAAAAGAAAAAGATGTCCTTAAAGATGCTCCGCAATCGGAAAAAGATGAAAAAGTGGCTCAATTGCCTGCGACCTTGGATGCTCCAAAGCAAGAAAAGCCAAAGTCTACAAGTGTTAAATCTGCTTCAGTTAAAGGCAGCATGACGCCAAAGCCTCAAACTAAAGTCCAGGAAAGGGGTTCCAGGCTTCAGGCTGCTCCAGAATTGATCCACAAAAGCCCAGAAGAAGAAGAGAGTGACGTAGAGTCATCAGGTGAAGAAGAGAAGGAGTACTTTGACGACAGCACAGAGGAACGCTTTCACAAGCTGTCCTCCCAGTCTGAGGAGAGCGAAGAAGACGACTTCTTTATAGGAAAGGTCAGCAAGTTCAAGAAGAAGAAGAAAAAACAGACGAGCGGCGATGGGACGGAGAAGGAGAAAGAAGAGGAGGGACCAAAAGACTCGGGCAGTGTGAAAACAGACAAACTCCAGGGGGAGCTGGATGAGCTGGAGTCCAGGTTGAAGTCCCAAAGGTCCACAGTTCAGTCTCTGTTCTGCTCGTCTCTGGCTGGAGGGAAGGGGGGCGGAGCTAAAGCTGCACCTCAGGGGAACTTCCGAGCCGGTAGAGGAGGAGGGTTTAGCAAACTGAACAAGTTTCCAAAGCAGGAAAACAGAACTTTTAATTCCAGGTCCAAGTTCAGCAAGCCTGTTGTTAGAGGACCACACTCCGAGTCTAACAGGACAGATTCTGGACCTGCAGGGAGAGGAAGAGCTAAAGATGTCCGACAGCAGACGGAGCGCAGAGGATGCTTCGTATCCCGTCAGCCGCCCCAGCCGGCCCTCCATCCGTCCTGGGAGGCCAGCAAGAAGAGAAAGGAGCAGCAGGGACAGATCCTGGCCTTCCAAGGGAAGAAGATTAAATTTGATGACGATGACTAAAGAAACTGAATAACCTTTTACATTGTGAGATATACTTAGGTGATATAAAAATTTGGTGCCAATAGGACCTCAGTTGATCATAGATGTCACATTGTGAATTTTAAAATGCTCAACCTATCAGGAAACGATAAAATACTCTTTCATTCCTGCTCAAAGTGTCCAATTGCACTGGTTTAGAATGAATGTGTCCTGCTTAAGATGGATCATTTAACATCACCAATTTCTCTGCTCTATGTTCTGTTCTGTTAAACTTGATTTTAATGTGACATGTCGGATTCCACTGCAGTAAACCTCTGCCTTTAGCAACCATTTTGGTTCATGCTTCTCTTGGAATTTTAAGTTTTTTTATTGGAAACAAAAATGTGATGTTCCTATTGCTGTGTTTCTGCATCAGACATTAAAAAAATAAATAAATAAACCTGCTTGTTAAAGCTCTGACTGATTTGGTTATGACATCAGACTAACCGGCCCACGACATGCACAGCTGATTCTTGGAGCTGGTTTTGTTTTTATTTCCATTTATATTTTAAAATAGACATGATAAATTAAATGAGTTTCCTGCGCAGGGTGGCTGGGCGCACCCTTCAAGATCGGGTGAGGAGCTCGGAGTAGAGTCGCTGCTCCTCCACGTCAAAAGGAGCCAGCTGAGGTGGCTCAGGTATCTGTTCCGGATGCCTCCTGGTCGCCTCCCTCAGGAGATGTTCCAGGCTTGTCTTATAGGGAGGAGGTGCTGTGTAAGGCCCAGGACACGCTGGAGGGACTATGTCTCTGAGCTGGCCTGATGTCACCTTGGGGTCCCCCTAGAGCAGCTGGAGGGAGTGTGTGTGGATCGGGAAGTCTGGGAATCTTTGATATTTGCTTAAACTACTGCCTCCGCGAGCCGGCCCCGGATAAGCCAAATAAAATTGATGGATGCATGATAAATAACAAGAAACTTAACAAATCAAAGCTTTAACAATTGATAGCAAATTGAGGGGGGTGTTGATGCATGCACTCCACATGCTCTCAAGACAGCTGCTGAACGCTTTATGAATCAGCCGAAGCCTGCAAAGAAAAAAAACATTAGGAGCCAAATAATATGGATGGACTGATGTATCGGTTTGTCTCTAGTACATACTTTAAGGAGGACAGGGAGTTTTATACGGGAACGGCAACTGATAGGAAAACCTCTATTTGCTGAACCAGGAAGCAGCTGTTGTTGGTCAGAGTGTTAATGTGGATTTAAAAAGTTAAGCTGCTGTTTTTGACCACTGATCTCTATTCACTGGATTGCTGATTTGCTGTTGGTGGTCCAGGGTGCTGTGAAGTCACCAGCCGCCATATTGGTACTCCCTAGTTAGACCTGGTTTATGCCGAGAAATACCTGAATCTGTTTCCTCATCTGTGTGCGGGGAAACGGCATGCAGATAATTCTCGGCACAACACCAGTATGTAAACAAAACGTGCGCTACAGCATCCAAAAACCATGATGTTCTCATTTTCTGGGTGGCTTAAGACTTAAAACACTAAGATAAATTCATCACTTTGACACAAATGGGTGTTTCATAGCATATTTATATTACTGTAATTTATGGTAGAAAACAGGTACATCACATTGCATATTTGGTATGAAATCTGTAAATCATATAACATACAAATCCATCACAATAAAATGAATGTGTTGATGGAGCATAAATATACTGTAGTCAGAAAATAAAAATATTACACATACACAGTATCTGATGATGTGCCAAAAGTGCTAAATTGATGATGTACATGTATTGTTTACATTGTTATGGTAATTACATTACATCACAGGCATTTTTATGGTGCGAATCCGTGAAAGTGGGGAGTACCAAGATGGCGGCAGGTGACGTTTTTTGGATGTATCAGCAATCCAGAGAATAAAAGGAGATCAGTGTTTTTCCCCTAAGTGTGCCAATAATAATATTGATTATGATACAAAATAGATGCAATATATATATATATATATATATATATATATATATATATATATATATATACCTATTTTTAGGTATATATGTACGTCTATAGGTACGTTTTTGCAGAATATATTTAAAATGAGTGATGTGTGTATTTTTTTTTTTTTTTTACCAGTTTTTAAGAGGTCTTACCTGCAGCAATGTATTGTATAATATAAAGATTTTCTGCTGCTAACTTTGATCATCTGATGGATTTCAGTAAAACATTTGTGTAAGAATTTATACACTCCCATAGAGATATTTATTATATAAACATATCCTTTGGTATTCACTGTTCTTTTTGAAGTAACCTAATTTTTTTTTAAATATATTGGACTGTTTGTATTTTTTTTCGAGATATTAAAATACAAACTATAAGAAGCTGGCAACACTACGGTAAAAATAAAAACACCTAAGATCATAGTTTTTAATAAACCTCTGTTGGTCTCCCTTCAGTGTTGAGTGTTTGGTCCTGGTAATTCCTCTCTAAGTAGAATCCCAGCTACCTTTGAGGTGACATGAAAAGACGTAAACCCTAATTGACTGCAGAAGATTTAAGAACAAACAAAGGAGATGCAATTATCTATAGTACCGCAGCCATATTCTAATATCTATCTATCTATCTATCTATCTATCTATCTATCTATCTATCTATCTATCTATCTATCTATCTATCTATCTATCTATCTATCTATCTATCTATCTATCTATCTATCTATCTATCTATCTATCTATCTATCTATCTATCTATCTATCTATCTATCTATCTATCTATCTATCTATCTATCTATCTATCTATCTATCTATATGCACAATTTGCAGTTGCACATCTCTGATATTGCTGCTATTTCCCCATATATATATATAGCAGTATATTGGTTATTTATTCTGCACAGTTTTTATACTGTTAAAATACTTCACAGTACAGTATTTTATTATTTATCTATTAACTCTTCACTATTATGTTATTCTTATACATTTTTCTAAGGTCCATATTTGTGTGTCCATTTTTTTTCTATAATCTTTTTGCTGCTGGAAACACCAGAATTTCCCCTTTGCTATGTTGATTAGTGTTTCAAGGTGACATAATATGGTTAGATATTTCACACATTGTTATTTTACTTGAAGCCAATGGCTTCTAAGGAAAAAGGAAAAAAGACCTGTTAGAATAAACCTACCTATTAGAATCATTAAGTTGTGACTCTTAAATACCTGAGAAAAAGCTAATTTTTCAGTTTATTCTAAGGGAACAAAAACATAAATTGGTTTTAATTATGTAATCTAAAGAGGTGTTTCCGGTAGCGTTTCTATTAAGGAACTTTTACTTTGTTTGACTTTTGTCAAATGCATTAACGCAATAATTATGTTACCTGTATTAATAATTATCATCATCATTATTATTATTTGTAGCAGTAGGCAAAGACATTCATATAAGTGGTAGGAGTAGTAGTAGCGTTTTATTTTGAAAGGCTACCTATGACGTTCGTCTACATCCGGAGAACGCGCGTACTTTACGTTCAGCCTCCACTGGGGAGATTTGGCGGGCAGTACTTCAGTGTAATTTGGATTTCTTGTTGTGCATGCTTTTAACTGGGAACCGAAGAATGTTAGAATAACGGTCTAGCAAACTTTTTCCAAGTAAGCAAACTTTTTCCAGCCCTAACGACGAAAAGACGTTACTTCTGAAGGTAAGCTTGGAACGGGGGAGGGACTGTTAGCCTGTTAGCCTGTTAGCAGTGATGGTGAGATCATCTGAACATGTCACCACCTACTGGTGGAGGGCATAACTACAGTTAGTAATAAAATCTGTGACTTTTTTTCCCCAATAGTTTTTCTTTTTTTACTGTTTCATTTCCTTTGAAATAGTTAATGATCGGTGTGTATATTAAAATGTTCTGTACGTTTTTTTTGTGTAAAATGTCTTAGAAGAGAACAATCATTTAAGATACATTTTTTTTTTTTGCCATTTTAGTGAAATAAGCTCAAGCAGACAGTGAAAGTGCTCGTGGAAATTGGGCAATGATGAGCAACGTGTTGGTCATTTTTATTCAAACATAAATTTTTCTATTGTTTTTGGTTTTAATCGGGTTGGAAATTATGTTTTCAAACAATCTTTTAGTTAAACCAACTAATTTAATTTGGTTGTGTTTTTACCCAGTCTATATTTTTACTATGGCAAATCAATACAAATTAGTCACATTAGCCAAAATACTTGTTATAATATATAAGTATATACGCAACTTTCAAAAGTCTAAACATCAACCTCAGGAATGGAAGTCAATGTCTTACAGATGATGCCATTAACTCCCCAGACAACAATAATTTTTATGACTTAAAGGAATAGTACACCCAAAACATGATTAGCCTTCATTTTCTACTCACCCCCATGCTGAACAACACCCTGGAGTACTTTTTTGATATCTCAAATGCATCTGGAGATCTGGGAGGCTTCTTGCTGTCTGCTGACATTCAAATAATGGAGGTCTACGGTGCCCGAGACAGAAAGGTCCATAAAAATCCACAAAAAACGTGTCAATATTCCTCCATACTGCTCGTCCAATGTATTCCAAGTGTCCTGAGTGGGTAGCATCCAGAATTTACTCGAAACGAAGTCATTTAGAATGTTTTTAGAGCATAAACAGTAGTGTATAGGATTTCCTGAAAGCGCGCACATGCGCGTTCACGAGCCTACGGAAGCCGGCAGACCAAACCAGCGCATTCAGCTCGGCAAAGAACTCATGCTCTTCCTCAACACTGAAGTCCTCAGACATTTTTCTTTCGTTGTTTCTTTCTTTGCACAGGTAAACAGCACATTTCTTCTTCTACGCTTGCATTATTGGCAGAGCAGACGCTGAATGCGCACTTTCATCTGGTTTGGTCTGCCGGCTTCCGTAGGCTCGTGAACGCGCATGTGCGCGCTTTCAGGAAATCCTATGCACTACTGTTTATGCTCTAAAAACATTCTAAATGACTTCGTTTCGAGTAAATTCTGGATGCTACCCCCTCAGGACACTTGGAATACATTGGACGAGCAGTGTGGAGGAATATTGACACGTTTTTTGTGGACTTTTATGGACCTTTCTGTCTCGGACACCATAGACCTCCATTATTTGAATGTCAGCAGACAGCAAGAAGCCTCCCAGATCTCCAGATGCATTTGAGATATCAAAAAAGTACTCCAGAGTGTTGTTCAGCATGGGGGTGAGTAGAAAATGAAGGCTAATCATGTTTTGGGTGTACTATTCCTTTAAGTTACAACTGTATCCAGCGGTTTGGTCAGATTTTGATCATTTAATTGTTTGATCTGACTGTAATAGTTTAAACCAGCTAGATTGGTTGGAAAAACAACCAATCTGCTCTTAGAATCTATCCAAACTCTATCCAACTGACAGCAAATCTTCTACAAACTCCCACATATGCTCCCTGTCAAACTTCTTGTGCTTTTTGAACCACTTCCCGAAGCGGTCACGTGGTATCACGGTAAAGAGTCTTTGGGCTTCATCAATTTTGGCCCCTCCCCTAAATTAATCAAGCCTTTACACGCGCTTTGTGTAATATGGAAAGCCATTTGGTTCAATTACTCATTATTTCTAACACACAAGACAAACCGTCAATAATAATATTTTGCGCGTTGTTAATGTATTGTCTTCGCCTTTCCATCTGTCACACATAGACTATACTCAAATTGACATGAAATCAAGGAGTAGTTGATGTGTATTTGACATGTTAACGTGTACTTGACACGTCGTCGACTTGTTCATAGCTAGGGCTGGGCGATATAGAAAAAAAGCTTATCGATAAAAAAAAAATGCATATTGATCGATATCGATAATTATTGAAAAGATTTGAAACCATATTTTATGTGCAGCTCTGCCTGGACATTTTATGATATTGCTAAATGATTTAATTTTAATAAAGAACACAAACACAGACTTCCAATTAAATATTTATTTAACCAACTTTTTTAACCATAACAGAATTGTTTTAAAGAAAAATAACTTAAGAGACCTGAGTTATGTTATTAAATACTGACAAAGAATAAACTAAAGTGACCAAAATAAATATAACAAATACATAAATAGAATACCCTATTTGGGTGGGAATAGTACACCACCAGCTTGTGGTAATTAAAAGATTGTAGGACTAGGCTACCATGTAAACAAACTCCACTCAACAAGAACAAAAACCCAAATCAACTCACCCTTTAGCCTAGCATTTCTATGGGGTATTTTTTCTCACCCCTATTCTTCTAGAGGTGCTGCTGGAACCTCGTTATGGTTCAGCTTAGAATTGAGTTATTACTTTGAAGTTTCTGGCCCCTCCAGCATTTTTCTCTCAACTGTTACAACTACGTGGGAAACTGCCCAGAACTGAATATATATATAAATATAATTTTTTATTTCCGAAATTCCCGAAGATTCCTCGGAGGAGAGCCGCACCGGGGCCTACACAGCTTGTACTCGTGCGGGTGTGAGCGGCTGAGATGATAAAAAAAAAAAGTTGGTTGTGTTATCAGACTTGGTTTTCACTGGTTCCCTACACATTTTCCAGATGACTGTGGTTTGTTTTTGGTCCGACTTGCCATGACCGAAATACTGCCAAACTGGCGAACTACAAAAACCCTTCTTTGGAACAGTTTCCTCCGCCTCTCCTTGCTGCGACATCTTCATGTGCTCTGTGTTGTGGTTTGAGAGGGTGGCGCTTTGTGACGGCGTGCCTGGGTCCTCGATTGCGATTGGTTGGGAGGAAATAGTGACTAGCATAAACCTACATGCTAGGCTACAATGAGAAGGAAGGAAAACTGCGTTTCTTTATCGAACTTTTATCGACCCTCTTTTTTTCTATTGCGCCACACGTCTATCGATCGATATATATCGTTATTGAATTATCGCCCAGCCCTAACGTAGGCTATGCAAGGGTTGACGTTAAGGATTTTTATCACTTGCCCTTTGGGCAAGTGACTTTCACATTTCATTTGCCCAGAAACAATTTTTACCTGCCTAGTATAATGTTTGATAAATATAGTTCCTAATATTCATTTTTGTATATATATTAATGAAACACGTTTGCTTTTTAAATGTTTTTTGGATGTTTAGTGAATGGATGAGGATGGGTGGTGGGTAAAGAGGATCTCTGCTGCTAAGTGGGTGGTGGGTGAAATGGGTGGAGGGTAAAATAGGTGTGGGTGTGTTACTGTACTTACATTTTTTTTTTGCCTTGCTGTTGTTTTTTTTGCCTGCCAAGTGGAAAAAAAATGTCTGATTCGTGCCAATTCCCGGACAAAAATCACGCCATCTGGCGGAAAATCACACGGCTTTTTCAAATCACGCGACTTTTTCACACGAGAATGTGTAGAAAACAACAAATTTGGCACCAACAACGCTTTTGGGTCGTTTTCTTCGAATGTAGGTGAGTTTTGAGTGATTATGCGAATAAAATGATACAGAAACACAGGTACAATAGCGCTTTCTAGCTTGTTTGTCGTTTTGGTAACTACATATAGATTAGAGTCGTAGAATAGAATAGAGTCGTAACTTTATGAGAATAGAGTCCTAACTTTATAAGAACAGAGTCGTAACATTATAAGAATAGAGTCGTAAAATTACGAGAATAAAGTCACAACGGGAATATTCATAAAATTATGAGAATAAAAACGTAACATTACGAGAAAAAAGTCATAACATTACAAGAACAAAGTCACATAATAAAGTTGTAACATTACGAGAATAAAGTCGTAACTTTACGAGAATAAAGTCGTAACTTTACGAGAATAAAGTCGTAACTTTACGATAATAAAGTTGTAACTTTACGATAATAAAATTTTAATATTACGAGAAAAAAGTCACAACGAGAATAGTCATACATTTCCGAGAATAAAGTCATAATATTGAGAAATTGAAGTCCTAAAATTATGAGAAACAAGTTGTATTCTCTTTACTTAACTCTACAAGAAACACTTTCTTCACTAAAATAAGGAATGTTGTTATGTGAAATTATACTCTGGTTTTGACAATAAGGAAATCTTTTAGCCCCAGCATCAAATTTGGCAGTAGCTCAAAGTGGACTCAGGTTGCTGATCGGTGGTTCTGCTCGGAGCTCGAAGCTTTCTTTCTGAATGATGACTTCATTCTCGTAATATTACAACTTTATTCTCTTAATTTTATGACTTTATTACTGTAATATTACAACTTTAGTCTTGTAATATTACAACTTTTTTCTCATAATTTGATGACTTTATTCTTAAAATAAAAACCCCTCTAACCTGGCCCAAATGGTCCGTCAAAGGATAGTAGCATATTGACAGACGAAATTTTTTTGTATCTATTTTAAATGCCAAATGTTTATACATTTTTTTTTTTTTACAATTTTGATTGTAATTCTCGAAATAGAGGGGGAAAAAATCTTAAGGCTGGCTCTAATATTCCATCCTAAAGTACTGCTCTTAGTGGGTCTCTATCAGTTAAAGGCATATTTCACAGACTCTATACTCCAGTTAACGATTAATTGATTACTGATCGATTATTTCAATCGACGATAATTTCGATAATCGATTAACCACCATTAATCTGAGTAATTGTTTCAGCGGTAGTGTTGTTAGACCTTGTTAAACGTTTTTAATAGAAAGAAAAATTTTGGAGTCCTTCCCATGTATGCTAACAAAAAGCTATGGGTGTAGCATAGCAACGGAAGGGTTCCCTCTGGGGGTGAATCACCTTGGACAGTATCATTTTTAGAACAACAGGAAGCAGAACCACATTTAATGCCAAATTAAAAAAATCTGAGTCGCAACCAAATGTCCAGTTGTTCTAGCGAATATTCTACAGGTTCTTAAAGTTTTACCGAGTGGCGACCAACCGTTTCTTACCAAATGTAGGCGTCTAGGCGTTAAGGCTATCTTGTAGAACCAGAAACAGTTTCTTTATGAAGATAGAACAATGTTATTACACAGCTTTTAACCAATAAACTCCTGTGTGTGCTTTTGTTTTGCAGGGGAACCACCCCTTGACTGGCAAATTGCTGATTTTGTGCCTTCTGTGTTTGTGTGCCAAAAACAAAGGAAGAACTATAAACCAAAGTGCAGGCTGGAGCTACAGGGCAATGAAGGAAGGGAACATCAGGATGATGATGTTACCATGGAGGCTGTTGCTAAGACTGACACAGCAAAGAGTGACCATCTAATAGAGCGTAAGGCTTTCTTTTTTGTTAAAATTTGTATTTTTTTCAACACATTTTAATTATGTGCTCTAACTTTCTGTTAAAGCATATAAATAAGACCATGATCAGTCCTAAACAGGCTAAAAGCCACCATAAACCTCTTTAAGACTCAGCGCTTCTTCCTTTCTCAACATTATGGACTCAATTCTGCATTTTTTATTTAAAAAATCGTGTGTATGTGTATATGTTAGGGATGGGACGATTTATGAAAACCGTCAGAACCGTTCGGTTCGACTGTCTCGGTTCGGTTCGCGTGTGTTTCGTTCGGTTCATGCGCTGCTCCTTTTTCTCATAGATGAAGCGATTACACTCCAGAGCAGAAGGTCGCGGTACTGCGACCAAAGCCAACCGCCAGTAGTAAACAAGAAGAAGAAGAAGCGAAGCAGCTTAGCCGGGTGTAGCAGGGAAAAAAATCAGTTGTTGTGGAGAATTGTGTCGGACTGGCGAGTGGGAAAGAACTGGAGTTAGAAGACGCGCCAGCAGCACTTTATAGGTCTGCTGTATGGGAGTGCTTTGCATTTAGAGTGACCTACGATGACGGCGGAAAGAAAGTTGTGGATAAAAGTGCAACAGTGTGCAAGCATTGTGCAACACGTTTTGTTTATGCTAACAGCAACATGTCATGCTAACCCCGAAATCCCTCATACTCCGTCAGCAACCCCTGCTGCGCTCCAGACCGGCTGCTCAAAGCAAAACCTATAGCCCCCGCTGTGGCTTCGTCTGCTCCCCTCTGAGTCCCTTGGAGATGGTAGAGAGCATGTAACCTCACAACAGCCAGCGGAGCGAGACATGCATCTGGCTGTTGTCAGGTTAGCGAGCAGATGATTAAATTCAAAGCAGCAAAACATACGGAAATGATCCAGGGTTTCCGCGGATCATTTAAAATAATTACAATCCATTATTTTGGGGGGGGATTTTTTCATTAATTTCATTATCTATCTATCTATCTATCTATCTATCTATCTATCTATCTATCTATCTATCTATCTATCTATCTATCTATCTATCTATCTATCTATCTATCTATCTATCTATCTATCTATCTATCTATCTATCTATCTATCTATCTATCTATCTATCTATCTATCTATCTATCTATCTATCTATCTATCTATCTATCTATCTATCTATCTATCTATCTATCTATCTATCTATCTATCTATCTATCTATCTATCTATCTATCTATCTATCTATCTATCTATCTATCTATCTATCTATCTATCTATCTATCTATCTATCTATCTATCTATCTATCTATCTATCTATCTATCTATCTATCTATCTATCTATCTATCTATCTATCTATCTATCTATCTATCTATCTATCTATCTATCTATCTATCTATCTATCTATCTATCTATCTATCTATCTATCTATCTATCTATCTATCTATCTATCTATCTATCTATCTATCTATCTATCTATCTATCTATCTATCTATCTATCTATCTATCTATCTATCTATCTATCTATCTATCTATCTATCTATCTATCTATCTATCTATCTATCTATCTATCTATCTATCTATCTATCTATCTATCTATCTATCTATCTATCTATCTATCTATCTATCTATCTATCTATCTATCTATCTATCTATCTATCTATCTATCTATCTATCTATCTATCTATCTATCTATCTATCTATCTATCTATCTATCTATCTATCTATCTATCTATCTATCTATCTATCTATCTATCTATCTATCTATCTATCTATCTATCTATCTATCTATCTATCTATCTATCTATCTATCTATCTATCTATCTATCTATCTATCTATCTATCTATCTATCTATCTATCTATCTATCTATCTATCTATCTATCTATCTATCTATCTATCTATCTATCTATCTATCTATCTATCTATCTATCTATCTATCTATCTATCTATCTATCTATCTATCTATCTATCTATCTATCTATCTATCTATCTATCTATCTATCTATCTATCTATCTATCTATCTATCTATCTATCTATCTATCTATCTATCTATCTATCTATCTATCTATCTATCTATCTATCTATCTATCTATCTATCTATCTATCTATCTATCTATCTATCTATCTATCTATCTATCTATCTATCTATCTATCTATCTATCTATCTATCTATCTATCTATCTATCTATCTATCTATCTATCTATCTATCTATCTATCTATCTATCTATCTATCTATCTATCTATCTATCTATCTATCTATCTATCTATCTATCTATCTATCTATCTATCTATCTATCTATCTATCTATCTATCTATCTATCTATCTATCTATCTATCTATCTATCTATCTATCTATCTATCTATCTATCTATCTATCTATCTATCTATCTATCTATCTATCTATCTATCTATCTATCTATCTATCTATCTATCTATCTATCTATCTATCTATCTATCTATCTATCTATCTATCTATCTATCTATCTATCTATCTATCTATCTATCTATCTATCTATCTATCTATCTATCTATCTATCTATCTATCTATCTATCTATCTATCTATCTAAACAAGACTGGCTACGGGTACCAAGTCAGGAACAGGGCCACCATCAGCCATCTCTTCTACATGGATGACATCAAGCTGTATGCTAAGAATGAGCGAGACATCAACTCATTGATCCACACACCCCGGATCTTCAGCACAGACATCAGGATGTAATTCTGATGGTAACAAAGAGAGGGAAGGTAGTGCACAAAGAGGGGGTCTCACTCCCAGAAGGAACAATAGCAGATATTGAAGACAGATACAAGTACCTTGGAATCCCACAAACTAATGGCAACCTTGAAAAGGTGACAAGGAAAGCGAGAACTGCTAAATCCCTCCAACAAGTAAGGCAGGTCCTAAGGAGCCAGCTCAATGGAAAGATTGTCTCGGGTAGCTGTGGAACGGTTCACAAAATCCAAGGTTCGGTTCGGTTCGATATATGTTGATTGTTAGGAAAATCTATTATGTCTTCTATAGTACAACACGTGTTGCACAATGCTTGCACACTGTTGCACTTTTGTCCACAGCTTTCTTTCCTCCGTCATCGTAGGTCACTCTAAATGCAAAGCGCTCCCATACAGCAGACCTATAAAGTGCTGCTGGCGTGTCTTCCAACTCCAGTTCTTTCCCACTCGCCATACCCACACAGTTCTCCACAACAACTGATTTTTTTCTGCTACACCCGGCTACGCTGCTTTGCTGCTTCTTCTTGTTTACTACTGGTGGTTGGCTTTGGTCGCAGTACCGCCACCTTCTGCTCTGGAGTGTAATCGCTTCCTCTATGAGAAAAAGGAGCAGCGCATGAACCGAACGCAACACACGCGAACCGAACCGAGACAGTCGAACCGAACGGTTCGGACGGTTTTCATAAACCGTTCCATCCCTAGTCTCGGGCAATAAATAGTTATGCTCCAACAGTAATCAGATGCCCTGCAGGAATAATAAGCTGGTCAAAAGGCTGAGGTACAGGCCAGAGACGTTAAGAACGAAGGCTCCTAACCATGCAAGGAGGGTACCACCCCAAATCCAGTACCCCGAGACTGTACGCCAGCCGTAAGGAAGGAGGCAGAAGACTAATGAGTGTAAGAGCCACTATCCAGGATGAAACATCCAAGATACATAAGTACATCAATGAGAAGGCTTCGAGAGATGACACCCTCAGTAAATGTCTCAGACAATGGGAAACAGAAGATGAGGTGCTAGAGACTCCGTCATTGGAGTCTGTTTCTCATAGCAAGAGACTTGTTGACATTAGAGACACCCTTTCATCTCAGCTACGGATGTTAAGTTTCCCACAACTTAATGTCCAAAAACCTGAACTGTCCCTTTATAGCCACAAATCAGTATATACTGGGGAAGTTGGAGAATAGGAAGTTTTTTTTAAACTATCCTTAAAAAAAAAAAACGAAGTACAGCTTATTTCCTTCTGTAGTCACCTTTTTGGTAACAGTGTGTGCTGTAATACTGAATCCAGCTGCCAGTTCACAGTGGTGAACAAACATAATAAAAAAAATATTCTATATGTCACCAATCTCTGTTTTAAGTTAGCTAGACCTTTGAGCTCAGTTTGCCAGACTTGTTGGGTTTTTAAATTCAGGGTCTCATACTTTGCTCATTTTTGTTTAATTTCCTTCAACCACCCCCAGCATGCAGGTTTGTGATGAGAACCCGCTCTGACAACTCTTTGGTCCGCCTGACTCAAGCGTTTGCTCAGATGCTGAATCGCTCTTCAGATGGCGTCCTGGACCTCAACCTGGCCTCGTCGGTGCTCGGCGTGCACAAGAGACGACTGTACGACATCATCAACGTCTTGGAAGGGATCAATCTAATTGAGAGGATCTACAAAAACCACTACAAGTGGCTGTAAGCACTGAGTGAAACGCTCCTCTGGAATAAAGATCCAAAAGAAAGTCCATGTCTGTCAGTAAATTCCTTTGATGGAATAGACTAGTAGTAGACTAGTAGTAGTAGGAATCGAGCAGCAGATCTCCAGAGGAAGTTGTAGCTTCAACTAGTTCATGTTAGCCCACACGTTTATAGACGTTTCATGCCGGAAAGAATGGGTCAAAAACAGTTGCTAAATGTCTCAGCTCACTGATAACTTCATCGTAGGTAGCCATGTTTGTTGTGACTGTGGCTGCTAACCAGACATGGGCAATGTGGAGTCAACAAGTCATCTCCATGTCATGTATTTGTTCTACCCAGCCACTGAAGCAGGTGAGTCCAATCTTCACCGTGAATTAACCTGTGCAGATTGGATTCACCTGGTTAATTGGCTGGGTAGATTAAATACATGACATGGAGATGACTTGTTGACTCCACATTGCCCATGTCTGCTGCTAACCAACTAATGGGGCAAAGTTGAGCCCTTAAGACAAAGCCCTTCCTCATATGTATAATGAGGCAGAAAGGCAGACAGAAATGTAAAAATGACAGGCAGAAATAAATAGGGTAAAGAATAAACCACACAAAAATATTATAACATGCACATAAATAAATGCTTAAAGAAATAAGTAATAAATAAATAAAGTGACAGTAACTTAATAAATAAATAAGGTAATTATAATCCATCACACTCACCTTCTAGCTCACCCTATGGTGGGGTTGAGGTCTGGAGGAGAACTGACGATGTTTCCTCCTGTGAACCTCCTTTTATTTTTATACCAAAACGCTGCCACTACAACATTATCCAGTAGCTGGAAGTTAGAAAGACGTTCAGTCATGGTGTATAAAAGAATGAGGAACTCTCTTCATCGACCAAAACATTCAATTTATTCACTCGTGTAAAGTTGTGCACCACTCTGGAGAATTTGGAAATTAAACGGTTTGAAGAGAAGTTTTGCTGCCACTTTAAGCTTAGAATCGGAAGTGTGATCCTTCTGGTTAACTCTGTATGTCTCCACAGAGGTGCGCCCATGGATGAAGGAGTCATTATAGGTTTGAGGGCTCTCGTCGATGCGGAGGAGGCGCTGGATCAGCTGATCCAAAGCAGCACCAAAGCCATCAAAGAGCTCAATGAGGACAATGACCACCAGAAATATCCTTGCGGCCTGTGCTGTAGGCCAGAAATGGAGGTTTTTCTTTTCAAATCCATATCTGCTTTATGATCTTCTGCTGCTGCATGTCGTTCCATTTCAAAGATTTATTTTCCTTAAGTTCATGGACCACATTTGCGTATTTGACCTACAAGGATATCAGCAGTATTCCGAGTCTGGAAGGGCAGACAGTGATTGTGATCAAAGCTTCCTCTTCGACTGAAATACAGGTGCCACATCCAGATGAGGTAAATCCATCAGGATGATGAAATGTCGTCTCTCTGCTGGCATCTGGGAAACTGTCATGATAAGTTCGCCTTCTTCTCTGATGCTCAGGGCTTCCAGATCTACATCAGTAGCACCAATGAGCCCATCGACGTTTTCTTCTGCTCCGATAACCCGGTTCCAAAGGAATTCACCTACCCACACTAATGGAGACTTCCAGCTAACCACCTGCAGGAAAGACTTCTTTACTCCTTGGCCTCCATCCTCCTCTCCTCAGACGTCCTCTAAAAGTCCGCAGGTTCAGATCCGTTGTACAGATCAGTGTTGAAACATAGGAATTGATGGTTAATAGGAAAAGTTTTGAGATGTTTGCATTTAGCTCCACTGAGATAATTAGAACCATGTTTTGTTTACAGGATGAACTATGTGGGCTATGTTCAGGTTCAAATGTAAATTGTTATTTAGAAGTTCATATACTGCACCTGATCAGGAAGCACGTTCTAGCGGATTTATTTTATAGCTGTGCAGGGCTGAGAAAGCTTTATTTACCCCTTTAAAAATGCTTCTATGTTCAGCTTAAAAGTTCCAGATTGTGAAACAAAATGAAAAATAACTTGATTAATAAAAAAAGCGAATAATTATATCCAATAAGGGGGGAAATATCCAAACCAGGTTAAACTTGTTAAGGGATCATGTTCTCTTAGCCGCCATGCATATACACTATATTGCCAAAAGTATTTGCTCACCCATCCAAATTATTGGAATCAGGTGTTCCAATCACTTCCATGGCCACAGGTGTATAAATTCAAGCACCTAGGCATGCAGACTGTTTTTACAAACATTTGTGAAAGAATGGGTCGCTCTCAGGAGCTCAGTGAATTCCAGCGTGGAACTGTGATAGGATGCCACCTGTGCAACAAATCCAGTCGTGAAATTTCCTCGCTCCTAAATATTCCACAGTCAACTGTCAGCTGTATTATAAGAAAATGGAAGTGTTTGGGAACGACAGCAACTCAGCCACGAAGTGGTAGGCCACGTAAACTGACGGAGCGGGGTCAGCGGATGCTGAAGCGCATAGTGCGAAGAGGTCGCCAACTTTCTGCAGAGTCAATCACTACAGACCTCCAAACTTCATGTGGCCTTCAGATTAGCTCAAGAACAGTGCGCAGAGAGCTTCATGGAATGGGTTTCCATGGTCGAGCAGCTGCATCCAAGCCATACATCACCAAGTGCAATGCAAAGCGTCGGATGCGGTGGTGTAAAGCACGCCGCCACTGGACTCTAGAGCAGTGGAGACGCGTTCTCTGGAGTGACGAATCGCGCTTCTCCATCTGGCAATCTGATGGACGGGTCTGGGTTTGGCGGTTGCCAGGAGAACGGTACTTGTCTGACTGCATTGTGCCAAGTGTAAAGTTTGGTGGAGGGGGGATTATGGTGTGAGGTTGTTTTTCAGGAGCTGGGCTTGGCCCCTTAGTTCCAGTGAAAGGAACTCTGAATGCTTCAGCATACCAAGACATTTTGGACAATTCCATGCTCCCAACTTTGTGGGAACAGTTTGGAGCTGGCCCCTTCCTCTTCCAACATGACTGTGCACCAGTGCACAAAGCAAGGTCCATAAAGACATGGATGACAGAGTCTGGTGTGGATGAACTTGACTGGCCTGCACAGAGTCCTGACCTCAACCCGATAGAACACCTTTGGGATGAATTAGAGCGGAGACTGAGAGCCAGGCCTTCTCGTCCAACATCAGTGTGCGACCTCACAAATGCGCTTCTGGAAGAATGGTCAAAAATTCCCATAAACACACTCCTAAACCTTGTGGACAGCCTTCCCAGAAGAGTTGAAGCTGTTCTAGCTGCAAAGGGTGGACCGACGTCATATTGAACCCTATGGATTAGGAACGGGATGTCACTTAAGCTCATATGTGAGTCAAGGCAGGTGAGCAAATACTTTTGGCAATATAGTGTATGTTTAAGAGTAGTGTTGCGCCGATACCGATACCAACAAATAGGGAACCGATACCGTTTTGAGAACCAAACGTTTATTTAACTATCGTCACCCATTACAGGGAGGCAATAAAAAGTTCTACTGGATTCTCTTTGTATTAGTCTTTTTCCTGTTTCACAAAGGTAGGCAGCAGCTTGACAAAGCCATGATGGCAATTATTTTACATCCAAGTAGTATGCAGTTCTTCATATACCCCATTTACACTACCCTTGAAAAACCGATCCATGCTGAGACCGGAGTTCAGTTAACCAGAACGAGCTTGGTTCTGACGACCGTCAGAATTCATGAGTGTTTTGAAACACAGTTGAACCATTTTCATTATTGTAAAAACAGATCGAATCAAAATTAATCAATTTAGAACTGTATGAATCAAAATCGAATCGATTCAGGACTTTGGCGAAAATACCCAGCCCTAGTCTAAAGTCCCACTACCGTGATGCCACGTAACCGCTTCGGGAAGTGGTTCAGAAAGCGTAAGAACTTCGACAGGCATTTAAACAGCCTCAGTATTCAGTCAAGATGTGGGAGTTTGTAGGAGAGTTGCTGTCAGTTTGATAGATTCTAAGAATAGATTGGTTGGAAGAACCACCAATCTAGTTGGTTAAAACTATTTTGGTCGGATTAAACAATGTAATGATCAAAATCCGAGCAAGCCGCGGGACACAGTTGTAAGTCCAGTATTAAGTACTTTTGCTGTCGAAGAGTTAATAATAGTTATTTAGTCAGTAATAGTTATTTAAGCGTGACATGAATTCATGCTTTCCTCAGGCTGAATCTCATCCTTAGGAGGAAGTATTATGATCTTAAATAAACAGATCATTGATTGATAATAAACTGAGTAGATGACTCGCACAATCAAACTGATTAAACTCAGTACTAATTATTTGCTAAATCAACTTCTAATGCCAACAGAAATCTTTATGTTTCAATAAAGGTTTTTGTGTGGCCTTGCAACCTTTTAATGGAAGTGATATTTAATAAATAGGCCATTTATCTTCCTCTGGACTAGGATACATAATATTCATGAGTTTATTAAAATGATTGCAGCTAAAGCTCTGATAAAAATCAAATATCTTATAATATGAGTCAAAAATGTATTTTTTTTAAGGCGGCACACTGAACAAAAAGAGTCGGACGCAGCTTTATTTGAAATGGTAATAATGACAATCAGCAAAACTGTTTCAGTTAATCAAAAAGGCCTTTAAACATCAGTCAGTTTTAGAAAGGAAAAACAAATACCTGTGAAAAGTATAAGCTATGGCAATGAGAGAAACTCAGCCAGATAGTAGAGTAAAAACAAACAATGTTCTTCCAAAAACTGTTAAATCAATGTGTATACATGTCGAGCAATTCGATGTTCTATACATTTGGGGATGTTTATACAGCTTATTTTGACATCATGTTCTGCCTACTTTTTGGGCTGATTCATGGAGCCAATGTTGCTTTTTCTTCCATTTACACGTTGGAAATAATATCAATCTTTACACAAAATGTTGGTTTAAAACAAAGGTTTTGTGCTCCTTCATTCAAACCAAGAAAGGTCAACAGCAGCCAATGAAATCTTGCAATAAAATTAAACAAAATCTGCTTTAAATCACTAAAACTTTGTTTTAAGTTTAAAGGGTTCCTGCGGGTCCTTAAAAAGTCTTAAAAGGCATTGAATTCTTCAAAATAAAATTAAGGCCTTAATTGGTATTAAAATGTCTTAAATCAGTCTTTCATAGGTCTTAATTTTTAAAACATAATAAATAGGATTATTTTTATTACAATTTATTTTTGTAATCTAAATAAAACGTTAAAATTGACAATTTCTTTTCTTCTTTTTACAGAAAAATAAAATAACAGCTCGCCATTATTGGTTCCGTCCCGATAGCGGAACCAATAAAAGCGTTGTTGCGGCCGGGACATTTGGGAGATGCACCATTAACTTTTTCTCTGGAAAATATGAGCAAGTGTAAATGTAACGAAAATTGTCTCCAGCCAAGGGTTTTCTCCATGGCTACATACATCTCCAGGGAACATACATGAGGCACAGTGGATTTTGTACAAGAATTCATTCAAGCTCAGAACGATGGGAATTAAGGCAGTGGAGTCACATGCGAAGCACGAAACATAAAGCGTCAAAATCAAGTTACCGAGAAACAACCGCTATTTCTAAGTTTTGTTTCAACCTTGTCTCTGCAACGCCTCCACTTATCACCAAATCAAACATACTAAGAAAACCATACAAAGAAAAATAGCTGCAAAAAAGACTTAGCACTGGTTATGTTGTGGCTTTAAAACTGATTTGTTTTGTTCCCTGCTAAAACAAAGTTTGTGAATTCAGTTAAATAATTGTTAAAATATATCTGTCATTTGTGTGTTTTTAGCTTTCTTCCTGTATGGGAAGCGTTTCAAAATTTGAAACATTAGTGCAGTGGTTTATGTTAAAATAAACCTTTGGGTTAAGTTCTCACAAGCGGGTTTTTCTTGTGTTTCTTTTGAATTTGGTCTTAAATTTTTTTTTCAAGTGGCATTAAAAAGTCTTAAAAAGTTATGTATTTAACTTGCCTTATGCTGTAGGAACCCTGGTTTAGCTGATTATTCAAATGTGTAACAGAATTCATACAAGGAAACAAAAAAGCTAATATCTGTCATCTGATGTATCTCTAGATTGGTTTCTAATGTTCATTAATGACAGTAATATGATAAAAATGTTCTATAGTTCTAGCTTTTGGCTTTTAAACTTCCTCTCTGTTTTTTCCAGCAGATGCTGACGGGCTGTGGGATGGAGGGTTTCTCTGAGGTGACATTAACCTTCATCCATCTGATGAAATCCCTATAAATCTGAAAAATGTGACGTTATTTCACCGCTGATCTCCTCTGAAGGAGGGTGGCGTTACCTCATCACCCTGACCAGAGGTGACGGCATCAGAAAAAAAGCTCTGTTTAGCCTAACATGGAGGGACGGCTTCATTAGACTGACTGAAATCAGAGTCGCAATAAAAAAACACCTAAGTGCTCAAATTATGTGTTTTTTTTTGGAACCTTTATTACCACGGATGGACTCACTGCGGTCATGCCAAGAACTTCAATTTAACTCTGATTTTTATTTTTTTATATATATAGATCTATGTTTTGTTTATGATCCTTTTTTCTGTTTCCGATTGTTTTTCATTTATTGCCCTTTTCTAACCTTAAAGAGCCCCTCATAGAGGACATGGACTGTTTTTTTTTCTTTTTTTTTTTTTTTTCTTTAAGTTAACACTAGAAAAGAACAAACCATGTGATAGAATTTGGTGTAAATAAACTCA